AAATGCATTGAATATAGGTAGCTTAGAGGAGAACAGACATCCTCACGATACTGAATCTTTTTATCTGAAAGTAATATATAGTCTTCCATTCACTGAGGTCTTTTTAAAATTTCTCTCAATGTTATACAGTATCCTACATAGAAGATCTGCTGATATTCTGTTAGATTTATTTTAATATTCTTTGATCCTAATTTAAATGGTATTATTTTAGGGGCACTTTAGTGGCTCAGACAGTTGAGTACCCAGTTCTTGATTTCAGCTCAGGTCATGATCCCAGGTTCCCATGGGATTGAGCCCTGCATTGGGCTCTGTGCTGAGCATGGAGCCTGCTTAAGATTCTCTCTCAGCCTGTGGTGAGCGCCTGGCAGTGGTTAGCGTCGACTTCAGCCAGTCCCATCTCGCTGTCGGAGTTCGAGCCCAGCGTCAGGCTCTGGCTGATGGCTAGAGCCGGAGCCTTTCGATTCTGTGTCTCCCTCTCTCTGCTCCCTCCCCGTTCATGCTCTGTCTCTCTCTGTCCCAAAAATAAATAAAAAACGTTGAAAAAAAAAAAAAAAGATTCTCTCTCTCTCCCTTTGTTCCTTTCCCATGCTTGAACATTCTCTCTCTCTAAAAATAAATAAATAAGTAAATAAGTAAATAAATAAAGGTATTATTTTAAAAATTGCATTCTCTGCTTGTGTGTTGCAATCGTGACATATGATCGATTTTTTGCAAATTAACATGTAACTGTTTTGCTAAATTAATACATTTATTGTATTAGTGTGTCTGTAGTCTTTGGAAGTTTTATGTATAAAATTATTCCACTGGCAAATAAAGACAGTTTTATTTCTTTCTTTCTAATACTTATACCATTTTTAAGAAATATTTTATTTTTTTAAAAGTAGTCTCTATACCCAATGTGGGACTTGAATTTACAACCCCAAGATCAAGAGTCACACACTCTACATACCAAACTGAACCAGCCAGGCACCCCTCCAATATTTACACCTTTTATTGACTGTTTTGCCTCATCACACTGGGTGAGGATACTCTGTTGAACTGAACGTCTAATATCAAGAGGACAGCTTTCAATGTTTCTCAGTGACACATGATGTTTGCTATAGGATTTTGTAAATATCCTTCTATTCTTAGTTTGTCATTTTTCTTTTTTAAATCATGGATGGATGTTGAATTTTATTCAGAGATGTGTTTTGGTCTCTATTTGAGATGATCATATGACTGTTCTCCTTTATTTGGTTTATGTGGTAAATTGCATTCATTGATTTTTCACGTTAGACTATCTTGCCTTCCTGGAATAATTCTCATTTGACCATAATATATTATCATTTTTTTTATATCACTGGATTTGCTTTGCTAATATTTTTTATAGGCTTTGTGTCTATATAAATAAAAGTTAGTCTCTCTTAGGTCTTTATTGTAATGTTCTTACCAGTATTTGCTATGAAAACTATGATGACCTCAACAAATAACTTGGAAAATTTTTCTCTTTTTCTGAGCTATGGAATAGTATATGTAAGGTCGAGTTTATTTCTAAATATTTGGAGGAACTGATTAGTAAAATTGATGGACATGGAAATTTCTTTCATAGGGTTTTAGTTACAGATTCAATTCATTTAGTAGATACTAAATTATTTGCATTTTATATTTCTTCTTGTGCCACTTTAACCGTTTTGGTAAATTATGGCTTTTTAAAAAAAATATCTATTTATATTTGACAGAGAGAAAGAGACAGAGTGCGAGTGGGGGAGGGGCAGAGAGAGACTGAGACAGAATCTGAAGCAGGCTCCAGGTTCCGAGCTGTCAGAGCCATCAGCACAGAGCCCGATGTGGGTCTTGAATCCATAGCCATGAAATCATGACCTGAGCCAAAGTCGGACACTTAATTGACTGAGCCACCCAGGCACCCCTAAGTTATGCCTTTCTAAATCATTTCATAGAAATTATTACCCCCAAACTGATATGATATCCTTTTGTTTTTATTTCCTTAACAATGGGATCTATAGTTAAGACCCTTTGTTATAAAAAAATCATTCTTGATATTGGTGTTTTGTGCACTTTCTTTTTTTCTTGATCTGTCTTTCCAGGGATTTGTGAAATTAATTAGTCTTTTAAATGTATTATTAGATTTATTTTCTCTAGCACATTTGTTTTATGTTTTACTGATATATGTTTTTTTTTTTTTAATTTTTTTTTTTCAACGTTTATTTATTTTTGGGACAGAGAGAGACAGGCATGAACGGGGAGGCAGAAGATAGGAGACACAGAATGAAATATAGTTCCAGCTCTGAGCCATCAGCCTAGAGCTCGACAAGGGCTCGAACTCACGGACCGCGAGATCGCTGACCTGGCTGAAGTCGGACGCTAACTGGACACCCAGGCTCTCCCATGATATATAAGTTAATTTTATTATTTTTTTGCTTTCCTTCCTTTTTTTTTTTTTTTATGTTTACCACAATAAGTTTATTTTTTATTATTTTTAATATGAAATCTATTGGCAAATTGGTTTCCATACAACACCCAGTGCTCTGGCACAAAAACAGACACATAGACCAATGGAATAAAGAAACCCCAGAATAGACCCACACAAACGATGGCCACAATATCTTTGACAAAGCAGGAAAGAACATCCAATGGAGTTCTTTTTAACAAAATGGTGCTGGGAGAATCGGACAAACAGAAGGTTGAAACTAGACCACTCACACACAAAATAACTCAAAATGGATAAGGACCTGAATGTGTGAGACAGGAAACCATCAAAACCTTAGAGGAGAAAGCAGGAAAAGACCTCTGACCTCAGCCGAAGTAATCTCTCTCGACATCATCCAAAGGCAAGGGAATTAAAAGCAAAAGTGAATTACTGGGACCTTATGAAGATCAAAAGCTTCTGCACAGCAAAGGCAACCAACAAAACTAAAAGGCAAAATCAACGAATGGGAAAAAGATATTTGCAAATGACATATCGGACAAAGGGCTAGTATCCAAAATCTATAAAAGAGCTCAGCAAACCCACACCGAAAAGCAAATAACCCAGTGAAGAAATGGGCAGAATGAATAGACACTTCTCAAAGAAGACATCCGGATGGCCAACAGGCAATAAGATGTTCAGCGCCGCCTCATTATCAGGAAATACAACAAACCACACTCAGGTATCACCACTCAGCCAGTCAGAGTACAAATGAACAAATCAGGGAGACCAGATGCTGAGAGGATGTGAGAAAGGAACCCTCTGCACTGTTGGTGGAATGCAAATTATGCAGCCGCTCTGGAAAGCAGTGGAGGTTCCTCAGAAAATTAAAATAGACCTACGACCCAGCAATAGCACTGCTAGAATTATCCAAGGACACAGGAGTATCTGATGCATAGGGGCACTTGTACCCCAATGTTCATAGCAAGCACCACCAACAGACACAATAAATTATGGAAAGAGCCTAAATGTCCATCAACTGATGAATGGATAAAGAAAGTGGTTTATATACACACGGAGTACCACGGGCAATGAGAAAAAAATGAAATATGGCCTTTGTATAACGTGATGGAACTGGAGAGTGTTGCAAGTGAAATAAGCCATACAGAGAAAAGACAGATCATATGAGCCCACCTATGTGATCCTGAGAAATTTAAGAGAAACCCTGAGGGGGAACAAAAAAAAAAAAAAAGAGGTTAGAGTGGGGAGAGCCAAAGCAAAGAGACTGGAACTGAGAACAAAAGACTAAGGGTTGATGGGGGGTGGAGGAGAGAGGGTGGGTGATGGGTACTGAGGAGAGCACCTTTGGGATGAGCACTGGTGTTGTATGGAAACCAATTTAAATAAAATTTCATATATAAATAAAAAAAAAAAAAAAAAAAAAAACCAGTGCTCATCCCAACAGGTGCCTCCTCGATGCCCATCCCTCCCCTTCTCCTCCCACTCCCCCCATCAAACCCCATTTTATTCTCAGTTTTAAGAGTTTCTTGGTTTGCCTCCCCCTCTCTAACTTTTTTTTCCTTCCTCCCATGGTCTTCTGTTAAGTTTCTCAGATCACATAAGAGGATAAACAATGCGGTATCGTCTTTCTCTGTATGACTTTTCACTTATCATAACATCCTTCCACGTTGCTGCAGTAACGTATTCATTCTTTCTCATTGCCAAGTAGTATTCCATTGTATATATAAACCACAACTTTAAAAAAAAATTGTTAACATTTATTATTGAGAGACAGAGAGACACAGAGCGTGAGCAGGGGAGGGGTAGAGAGAGGGAGAGACACAGAATCTGAAGCAGGCTACAGGCTCTGAGCTCTCAGCACAGAGCCCGACGCAGGGCTTGAACTCACAAACTGCGAGATCATGACCTGAGCTGAAGTCGGTTGCTTAACCGACTGAGCCACCCAGGAGCCCCTAAAACACAACTTCTTTATCCACTCATCGGTGGATGGACATTTAGGCTCTTTCCATAATTTGGCTATTGTTGAAAGTGCTGCTATAAACATTGGGGTACAAGTGCCCCTATGCATCAGCACTCCTGTATCCCTTGGGTAAATTCCTAGTAGTGCTATTGCTGGGTCATAGGGTAGATCTATTTTTAACTTTTTGAGGAACCTCCACACTGTTTTCCGGAGGGGCTGCACCAGTTTGCATTCCCACCAACAGTGCAAGAAGTTTCCCGTTTCTCCACATCCTCTCCAGAATCTATAGTCTCCTTATTTGGTTCATTTTATCCACTCTGACTGGAGTGAGGTGATATCTCAGTGTGGTTTTGATTTGTATTTCCCTGATGAGGTGTGACGTTGAGCATCTTTTCATGTGCCTGTTGCCTCAGCCTAATTTTTTTAACTAGTAGAAATGGATACTTGGATGATTTATTTTCAGCTTTTTTTTTTCTTTGACAGGAAGCAGGGTTTATTGTGGCGTGAATAAGGAGCAGGCAGTGTCAAGGTTCTCATGAGTGCAGAGCCTACCATTTGTCCAAGGGGCCACAATTAGGGATGTATTTGACCAAAGCCATAGCCATCTGGGATAAGCTACTTTTCAGCCATCATGTCTTCAAATTCATTCACGTTAAACTTAGTAAAGCCCCACTTCTTGGAAATGTGAAACTTCTGGCAGCCAAGGAACTTGAACTTGGCCCTACATAGCGTCTCAATCATATGCTCCTTGTTCTGTACCTTGGTACTGGTGGACATGATGACTTGGCCAATGTGGACCCTGGCCACTGTGCCCTGGGGCTTTCCAAAGGCACCCCACACACCTGTCTGGAGCCTGTCAGCTCCAGCACAGGACAACATCTTGTTGATAAGGATGACGTGGAAGGGATGGAACCGCATTTGGATGCAAAAACCATCTTTGCCACAGCTTTTCACCATGTACTTGTTAGCACACATACGGACAGCCTCCAGGGCTTCAGAGGAGAGCTGCTCGTATTCCTCTGGCACTGTGTGGCCACACAGTGGGAACTGCTCCAGTTCTGCCTTCTTCTGCCCAAGGTCAAAGATGCGGACCTTGGCATCAGGGACACCTCTGCAGAAACAAGACTTTGGACGCCGCTTGTTCTTACAATACCAGTAACACCGGGGTGGGTGGTGGCCCATGGCAATACCACTGGGCCCATGGGCCCAGTGGCAAGCCAAAGGAAAAGAGGTTATTTTCAGCTTTTTCCTCCTAATAAAAGCATTTAAGTATGTCTATAGCTGTATTCTAAAAGTTTTGATACGTTGAACTTTCACTATAATTCAAAGAAAAATATCTCCTAATTTTCATTTGTATTCATTCTCTTAGTGTTTGAATTACTTAAAAACTAAGTAATTAAAGTTTGAGTACTTTTCAAACATAAAATTTTTAATATTATCTTGTTTCATTATTGATTTCTATCCTAACTTCACTGTTGTCAGAAAATGTGCTCTGTATAATTTTACTTTTTGATATTTTTTAAGGTTTCTTTTAGATTCATCATTTGGTTAACTGGCTTGGCATTTGATATGAATTTTGCATTTGCTGAGTATAAGGTATGTAAATAAGGTCAAGTTTATTTATTGCATTGTTCAAATCTACTGTATCCATGTTGAATTTTTGTCTGTTTGGTGTATCAGTTACTAAGAGACATCTGTTAAAAATCTCCCTATGATAATGGATTTGTCCATTTTCCTTTTAGTTGCATCATTATTTTGCTTTACATATGTTGAAACTCATTATTAAGTGTAACAAATTTACAACTATAATATTTTGGAAATATTAACTCTTTTATCATAATAAAATTTCCTGTGTTTATTGCCAATAAAGTGTCTTGCCTTATAGTCTAATTTGCCTGATAAATATATAAAATATAGATAGTTATATTGGCCTTACAATTTTTTTTCATTCATCTATTTTAGTTTTTTTTGTGTGTGTGTGTTGCATTTCAAGTGTATTTCTTAACATTTAGTGTCATGTACTTTTTTTCATGTGGTCTAAAACCTTTGTGATTGCTCACTCATTTAGATACTATTATATTAGGGGGGTTGTATAATTCTTTATCTTATTACCTCTTTAAATATTGGTTCTGCCTAATTCTTTCTCTTCTCTCTTTATAGGACACCAATTCTGGGCATGTTAGGACTTTCCCCTGTGTCTTCTGTGTGATTTTGTGTAATTTTTATCCTTTCTTCCCTCCTCTGTTCTTCAATCTGATATTTTCTTCTGATTTATTCTAGCTCCATTTTCTGTGTCTCATCTTCTATTAGCCCCATCAATTGAGTATTTTATTTTATTATTTTATTTTTCTGTTTCAGAATTTCCATTTGAATTTTAAAAGCTAGATTCCCAAAAGAAATGTAAAATTCTCTGCATTTCACCTTATTTCTTCAAACTATTAATCAGTTATTTTAAAGTCCTTCAATCTGTATCTCCTTATGCATTTGTTTCTATTTTAGGTTTATTTTCGTGATTTTGGTTATTAGGTCTTATCTTCTGACATAAGTATGCCTATTAATGTCAATTGAAACTTGAGGAACTCCCCTCTACTTGCTAGATGGGATGCTGCCTGATTCATGGGTCATTAAATAAGACCAATTATAGGGGTGCCTAGATGGCTCAGTGGGTTAAGCATCTGATCTTGATTTTGGCTCAGGTCATGATCTGACAGTATGAGATTGAGCCCCACATGGGGCTCTGCACTGACAGCACAGTGTGGAGCCTGCCTAGAATTCTCTCTCTCCCTTCTCTCTGCCCCCCTCCCCCAATCTCTATATCAAGTTAAACAAATAAACTTTAAAAAATAAAGCCAATTGTATCTTCAAATTATATATATATATATATATA